ATTATTTGTAAATGTAGCTACATTTTAATCAGCTGTTTTAATCATGGAGTAACTGATTATAATAGTCTGTTTTCCTTTTCATAGGTAACAGTATTAGGATATTAGAAAAGTTTTATTAGGTAGTTTAGTGTTGCTGGATTCAAAAAGTGTTCTTTTTTTAAAGTGTGTTTTCAGGCTTTTAAATACTTCAGGCCTGCAAATGTCTTGGGAGAGATTGTTTCAGCATTTTGCTGTCCTAAGTATGCATCTTTATGTAGCCAATGGCAAGTTAGGCAGCTAATTAGAAGATGGCCATCCAACCATTTTCATGGGTCTGGCTCTTAGTGCACTTAGTATTGCAGGCCATTAGCTTGGGGAATGAAGTATCTAAGGGTGATTCCTGCCCCCAGTATCCTAGAAGTACGCATTGCCTATTCTTATTGCCCTTTGTTTGTCTCTCTTTGGCCAATTTCTGGGCCATGTCACTTGTTCTGTAAAAGCTAGCCTTAATTATATTTATTGAAATTATGAAATAGTATCAAATACTTAAAATTCATTCCTATTCTTTCATCTAACAACTGCATTTAGATACAACTTGGTTTATTTGCTGTTATACATTCAGATAGCAGCTGTTTTCTCTGTTACATCTTAATAGCACTCCAATTTACATTTTGTTTACACATATCAAGGAATCATAACCTTCACTTCTGTGATCTTGTAAAGCTTGCAATATTTTAATTATAAGGCTTAATTTGACCAATATGTGTACAAGTTATAAAGTATTATTTCTTATATAACCTTTTTTGTTTGTAAACCTATTCTGATTTTAAAGCATCTCATGCATTATTCTTAACTTCTGAAGTGCTAATGAACTTTTAGTAGTTTTGCTTAACTTTTATACAGTTGATTGGGTTTTTTTTTTCCAAGCACTAAGACAGAAATTATTGTCTTTTATCAAGAGCTCTTGGAGCATTGTTTTCAACCTTTTGGTCCAGCAGAGAACTTTTTTTCTCGTTTAGAAATACCCAAATTTTTATTTGGCCAGAGCAAGGGTGTTTCGTAAAATGCTTTGTTTTCTTGCCACAAAAACTCTAGGAAGCCCTGTTACGAAAGAAATGCTGTCAAGTGGCTTTCCTCCTGCCTTTATCACTGATGTTCAATAACCATTCAAAACTTACAGGGTCAGGTAAGAGCTTTCTTAATAGAGCAGTGATATTATTTCTGGTTAGCCTCCGATATGTTATATTTGCTGAGAGCTCCAATGCATTTTTCATTTGATTTTTTTGGTTTGGTTTGGTTTTGTGGTTCTATCATCTTTTACAGAAGGGATTTTTTTTTTTTAAGTTCAGTTTAACCAACTAAATCTGCTAATGGATCCACTGAGCAGTTATTCAGAAGTGTTTGCTGATGTGTTTTGCTTTAGGAAAGTATCCAAAATAATTGGATTGAGAACGCAGCATGCAAAATATTTTTCCAATAGCAATATTTGGAAAATCTATATGTGAATGGTGCTGTATGCTCATTGTTGCATATATGTGTGTGTTTTAAGCTACAACAGCTTAAGTGAATACTTCAACAAAATAAAATAAGTACTTGAAGACAGAAGAAGAATGAGCAACTCTGCTTGGCATATACTTCAGAGCTTCAGAATTACACCTTTACTTGCTTGATAATTAAGCTTGTTATTTATTTTATTTAGCTCAGTCTTTTAAGTATTGATCCTGCAAAGGTTTGTGTGTGTAATTAATATTCAATGCAAGTGTTCAGGCAGCTAAAATTAGGCAGGTTCTTCAGTTCTTGCAGGATCTGGATCTCAGGATCTGGATCTCAGATTCCTTAAGGTTTATATTCTTAAGAAATATTTAACTTCTTTTTGCTGTAATGCAAAATACTTATTTCTGAACACCCTTGAAGTGTTTTTGTTAGCTTTTCTTAATGGGATTTTTTAAGTGGACGTTGGGAAAACGTAACTTTTGTTGGAGGAGTCAGAGGAAAGGAAAAATATTGTAAAGAGTGAGGGGAAATGAATAGCAAACCTTAATATGAGATTTCATAAACTTTGCCAACAACAGAAACACCCCCACATTCACCAACTTTGCTGCTATGTCACTCTTCAGTAAAAAAATTTTAAAAAAGCTATTTACTATGAGTGTTCCAAAGGGAATATGTGAAACAATGTCTTGATTGCGCTAATTCTTAGTGCTGCAACTGGTGAAATGGTATGAACTATCTTGCAATGCCCTGAATGTTGTCAGTGTTTGGGTGTTAAGATCCTGATTTATTTTACATTAGTGCTCCAAGTATACACATTCATTTACGCATGTTAGTTACAGCATTGACAAGTATTGTAAGCTGTCTCCTTTAGAATTAGTACTATTAAGAGGAAGCTTTTTTCATAATCTCATCTTAATAAATTACCAATAGTGAGGTGCTGACCCAAAAGCTGAGGCTTGTCTTCATGCTTACCTGTCTTCATTGCTTGTTTATAATTATGTGTATTTCTCTGTGTGTGTGTGTATATCATTCACTATGTACATTCATACTTGTTTCTGCAGTAAGTTTGTGACTTCCTAGGAATCAAAACTCTCAATTTGGTCTTCGTTTCTGTGGGACAAAGATATACCTGCCTGGTTCTTGATTTTTTTTTTTTTTTTAAAATACCATACAGTTGCCTCTAGAGAGTGAAAATCCAAAGCAGCTAGAAATGTGATGAATAAAAAATGAGAATAGTGACATCTGTGTTACATAAGGTGTGCTGTAGTCAAATATGTTTGTGAAGTCAGAAGTAGTCTCTAGGAAGTTCATGTTTATAACTACTACTGTGACTCATCTGTTTTACTGCAAAGAAAAATGCAAGCTATCTTGTGTAAATGTTTTACTTTGTTTAAATCACTTCTGCTACCTGAACAGAATCTGCTATTACTTGTTAAGCCTTGCAAGATTAGAATATTAAAATATCTAACTTGGGGTTTTTTTCGCATTGTAGGTTTTGACTTTTGCCTATAAGCACGCATTGGTAAATAAAATGTATGGGAGAGGTCTCAAGTTTGCCACAAAACTTGCAGAAGAGAAGCCAACGAAGGACAACTTGAAAAACTGCATTCAGGTAAGGTGTGTTTGGTAAAGTAATGGGCTATGTTCATGCTGAGTAAGCTTTTAAAAGTAAGATATAAGTCTTTTTAAATTTTTGATACCTTTTACATTGTAGAACTCACTAAAATTAAGATTTTAACTTTATCCAGGCCTTTGTGACTTGATCTCCATTTTTAATAGTGATTTCTTCTTTCTTTTTCTAGAATAGCTGGTTTGTGAGTAACTGTCATTTTTAGCAGATTTACTTTCTGGAACTTACTTTGGGGGGCATAAAGAAAGTAGACACAACTTAGCCAAAGATCTTCTGTATATTTAAAATCCCATTATGTTGCTTTTTAACCACAGTTATTTTTACTATTATTAATCACAATTATTACTAGCAGAACATAGGTGGAGAATTAATGGGAATTACTGTAATTCCTATGACAAAATTTTTGTGCATTGAGTTGAAAGATGGTAGATCATACAGAATGGTTTTCTTTTTGCCCTTTCAGGGCTAAGTAATTCAAAGATCACCAGTTCTCCAATCTGTTATCTTTCTGATAATAGACACCTTTAGTAAGATGCTGATATTAATGCGGTGTTTGTTGGAAGGATTTAGATTTTAAAAAGAATATGACCCTAGAGCTTCTCATTTTTTTTAATGTTTCATTTTTTTCTTCAGCTAATGAAGTTGCTTGGATGGACTCATTGTGCAACTTTCACTGAAAATTGGCTTCCTGTCATGTACCCACCTGATTATTGTGTATTCTAGAAAACTAACGATTGTAAACTTAAAGTGGATTTTATACGGGGCAGGATATGAAAAGATAAGTTTGACTTTTTATTGGAACGCATGTTTTCATTACTGAATACTGGTTATTAAATTGTGTGTATTTATCAGTAAAGGCACCTGGGTACAGCTTAATACTTGTTAACCTAACTCCTGTCATCAGGGAGTTTCCTTACCGTGCATCCCATTGCTGGCAATGGATGTGCTAGAACTGCCAACACCAAGATTTGGAATTAGGCTGGAAAGGCTTACTGCATGCATTAGGTTCTTAACTGTTACTTTTAACTGCAAACCTGTAAAAGCTCTGTATTTTTTACAGTAAACTGAATTTTAACATGTTTAATTTCAATTGTATGAAGGCCTTAAAGCTACTTCAAGAGTAGCTAAAATCTTATTTATTAGTCTAAAGTAACGGGACATCATTACCTGTATTGTTTGAAAGAGTTTACATTTAATTTTTTTTAAGAAAAATTCAACCTCTCAAACTGTTACAATGTGTAACTGGGAATTGCTGATACATAGGTGCTCTTGTAAATCTTCATTTTGGAGTGATTTCAGGCAAACTCAAAAATCCATGTGAAGTTGAGTATCAGGACAGGCTGATACATGTATAAAAGTGCCAGACGGTTAAATCTTGATCAGCTATTGTAAAGCTATACATATATGTTTAATAATGTTAAAAATGTAAAACACAGCAGAATAAATGTGCAAAGTTGAAGATCAAAAAACACCATGTGCACGCTGATACTTTAAAAGATTATTTTATAATTAATAAAAACAAATAATGAAGCTGAAAATTGTATTGGTTTCTGAAAGACTATATAAATGAAACTTGCTGAAAGAAAACACCTTACAAACAAGCTCAGTGCAGCCCAGAAGATCAATGCTTTCTGTTAAAGCCTTTTTACTAACTATTGCTACTAACATTGTTCCTTCAGTGTAGTGAAATTGGTCTGTTTGAACAGGTCATATATATCAAGCAGAGACAAATTGCGGTATCATTTGTCTTGCCAGTTTTTTCATAACTTATAATGCAAAACTGAGATACAACTGCAACTTTACAAACATGAATGCACAGAAGGTGCACTGTAATGCTGCAAAACATTCCAAACTGTAAGGTGCTGCCATTAAATCAAAATTAGGAATAGTTTTCTCTTTAATTCTCTCTTACTGTGGCTTTAAGCAGCTTGACATTTGAGTCTGGAAATTCTGCTAGAATGGTTGCATTAAAAATATTGCAAACTTTTTCCAAAAATTCATAGTCTGTACTGAATCTGAATTTATTTGCCCATAGTAGTATTGTTCCTGGCTTACAAAAATACACCATTGTTGCTAGCAGGGAGTCCAGAGCTGTGTGATGGTATACAACATCAGTTGCCAGTATGAAATCATAATGGTAAGTTGATACAGGGAAGTCTTCACTGAGGCCTTCTCCCCATACCAGTTTTCTCACTTCAGGTTTGTGCCTATTTATGTTCTGTGTATTTCTTGAAATATTATATGAGAGATTTTCAAGAACTTCAGGCACATCGGTAGCTGTAACGTAAGCTCCTAAAGAAAACGTGAATTTGTTTCAATTTGTAGGTATGAACAGTTGA